CAGCCCCTTATACTGTCAATTTTCTACAGTTTTATATCATATTTATATAACTTTTTACATACTTTTTATACATATTTTTATATATCGATATTTATATATATATATCTCTACACATATTTATATATATTAAGAACATTTAATATTTTATCTTATACGTACATATATATATATATATATAGCTCTTTTTATATATATGTATTTTTAATATATATCTGTTTTATATATTATATATATACATTTCTATATATGCGATTTAAAAGGCGAAACGCACGTATCAGTGCGTTTGTAGCCTTCGTATGTATGTATACGCACATACACGCACGCTCTCCTGTGCATTTTCTCTCTACTTCTCTTTTTTTAATATCATATATTTGATCGCCTACACAAAATGTCTACGTCGTGTTCCCTGTTTTACATCTCTCTTCATAGTATACTGTACCTGTTTGTACTTGATACGTGCGCATTCATACGTATAGATCTGTGTGTGTATAAACCTCTTTATACACCTATAAACGCCATAACAATTCTTTACTGTACGTCGCTTGTGTCGTCTGTCTGTATGTTTGCTGCTAATAATGCAGTTTCTCGAGGTGCCGCGTTTATATAATTTGCAGATAAGAGCTATTGTAAATTCGCAACGAGATTGAAAGTTTTCAAAATCGATAGACGCTCATTCGAGACTCCTTACGGAGATCTCCTGTTTTCAATTGGAAAGCAAAGCGAGACAAGTTGGAAAGTTCCGCGTCTCGGCAAATAAGTTTATATATTTACGCAGAGAGACTGAAATACTCGAGAAACTACCGTCATCACTGTGTTTGAACCCGCGTGTGTGTGAACTTCTTACTTGCCCGTCGTCGTGTGATGGTAGTCGGCAGTCTGGTGGGTGCGTGGATGTTGCGTGAGAGTGCGTCGCCGATGAAAGAGCCACAACAGATGAAAGGAAAAAAAAAAGAAACACCCAGATAGAAAGAGAGTTTTAGAGATGCTAATCACGTTCTCGGAGATGGGAATCTGTAGTACGTCGTGTGTGCTTTCATAACGAGCATGTGAGCTTTGCAGCGACTAACCCGATCGAGAACGGCGGGTCCGAGAGTTATCTTTGGGCCCAAGTCTAGTCTCGAAAAGCCCGGAAGCCCGGATGCGGAATTGCCCCCCTTCACCCCACGGAAACAGAGTGAGAACCGCAGTGTTGCACTTTGTCAGGTAGTGAGAGGAAGCCGCCTTACTACATTTTTTATTATCTCTGCGTCTCTGTTTTTTATTTTTCTTTGATTTGTTCCACCCCCTCTTTTTGCGAATCTGTGCTGCTGTTTGCTCTCTCTGAAAAAGTCGACGTTTCCGAGATCGCGCCGAGATTCATTCGTGTGTCCCGGCGAACACGATAATGAGCGGCGGAGCCGTCGGCGAAGGGACGTGCCAGCGTGTCGCTGGTGCGTCTGGGTCCCGTAAAGCGCGACGGCAAACAACAAAAAAACAAAAAAAAAATACCGGCCCCGCGCGATATACGTGAGGCCCATCCCCCTCTACGAAGGGTAGCGAGCGGCGAGCGGGCCGAGCGCGCAGATTAAGAAAGAAAGAAAGAAAAGCGAAAATGCGCAATCAACTACTACTACTACTACTACTACAAAAAAAAAACAACCAGAAACCTTGTCTTTTTTACTCTCTTTTTCTCTATTTCTTGGTGGTCTTGTCTGTGTATACAGAACGCGATCCGCACCAATCTATCATTGCACAAGTGTTTTGTGCGCTATGAGGACGACTTCGGGTCATTCTGGATGGTGGACGACGCCGAGTTCGTAAAGCGGCGGCATCTGTCCCGCGGCCGCCCCAGGAAATATGACCCAACCCCATCACCCACTCCACCCCACCTCTCCGCACAGTAAGCACTACCACTTTTTAGAATTCTGCTGGCTGGCTGGCGCGACGTTCTGACCTTACCGCGGTACTTTTTTATGAACGCGGCGACCGGGACGTTTTCGCTTGGTCGTTGTCTACAAATCGAACCACTAAATGGGCTTTACAACCTGCTGCCTTTGAAAGTCTTTGTGCACACTTGCTCCGCGGATGTGCACGATTGCAGCTGTTACTGTTATATTGACGTGACGACATGCCCTTTGGAATAAAAAGTAAATTGCTTCGAAGCAACGGAGATTTATTTCGTCATATTCCTGTATTAAACCGTATAAGAAAATGAAAGAAGCTCCAACGTTATATAAATGTATGAAACTTGAATTAACGTGAATATAACGAGGAAATATAGAAATGATAAATTTTAGATAATAATTGTTTGATTTAACATTTAATTTATTTTAAAAAATTTATTTTAATTTTTTTTAAATTTAATTTATTTGGAAAAATTTATGTTTGTCGTATGTTTTGATTTTGATCAATTTTGATTAATTTTACATATTTATATTTGTGCCAACAATTTGGATTATAACATTACGTTTTGTTTTTCTTTTGATACATTAGAGAATAATTTCTTTATTAAAATTACGTTTTTCAATTATTATTTTTTTCAAATTATTTATTACGTTACTAACAGCTGCAATTATAGATGCGAGAATCAATTTGGATTAGTTGAATTTTATATCAGCCAATAAAATCAATAAAATATCTTTATATCAAAATTTCTTCCATTTCTAAGCTATATCGCGACACAATTTGTATATAATGAAGTATACAGATTACGCCAAGGCAGCAGGAAATAGCTCCATGCAGTTTGTCCAATCCCTCTGGAAATGATTTCCGCATCATGCCTGCCTCGAGCGCCTTTAAAGTTCCGATTCCTTTAAAAACTGGACAGTAGTATCATCCCACTATTACCTTGCTCGTTTATTTGTTACAAGTGTGCAATTTTATTTTTTTGAATATTTTTTGACCGGTTTTTGGTCATACATTTACTTTCTAAACGATATGAGCAACTGTATTAGTGCATAACACGTAAAATTGTTATTAAAAATAAAAATATTTATTTTTAAATTTAATTTAGTTATTTGATTATAACACATGTCATTGGCAAATATAAATAAAATTTCATATAATATTGAGGTTTGCAAAAGCAACAAAAGAGTTTGCCGTACGATTAAACATTTAAATTTCACGTGATATTCTAAAATTTATTTTTGTGTATATATATTTGGGGCGTATATAACCATCTAAAAAATTGTTACATTTTTTCTATAAAAATATCGAAACAATTGTTTTGACATAAATGTCGACAGATGAAATTCTTTTTTATTTAGTGTTTTAAATATGAATTTAAATCTAGATTTTATTTATATTTTAGTTGCCAAGACAATTAACGTTTAGAAAAAAGAAAAAGTTTAGTCCAACTTGCTAATAAATAATTAATTTCAAATTGATTAAAGAATATAATTACATAAAAAAAATCGGTTTTTTTCTGCGTAAAAATATAATGGGTACTGTATTTCGAAAGACATGCAAATTTTGCACACTTTTACAAATGACGTTCAAGCGTTCATAGGACATTCCCGTATACGTCACCAGTATTGTAACCCGAGGCTCTTGCACTCCGTGATAGCTTGAATCCTGCACGGTCCTGCAACATCCCAACAACAGGACGATTGGATCAGAATTGCCGGACCTCCAATGTGTTTATTAGTTGCTCGCATGGATTACCATGAATCCCTAATATCCGTCTCCCGGATTAAGCCCTCTTAAAACTGTCCCACCCACTTTGAAGACACTGCTTATAAACGTATGACGCTTAATGTAATGCCGTTCGCGCGTAGCGTCTCGTGTGAAAGTGGTGTGTTTCTGCGGGCAAGCGTTCTTTTGTGTTCAAGTTTTGCTTCCGTTTTTCTCCCTTTGTTCTGTTTGTTCTTTTGTTCTCACATAGTAGTAGAGAATTATTTTTTTTTCTTCTTTTGTGAATCGTAGAATTGTTATGACATTAATGGACGTTTGTAATATTTTACGTTCGTCATTTTTATTTGATTTCTACCGAGTGACGGTAGCAGTGTAGCATCCTGGCGAAGGTCTGTTTCTTCAGTTTTTATCCGATGCAGTTTCCTTTTTGCAACCTGTTGCGATTTTCAACTTTACATTTCAAAATATCTACTAGATGTTTTACAAGCCTTCTGAAAGTTTCTCAACTTTACAATTTAGCTTGCAATTCTTGCTTATCTTACGAAAAATTTTATCTCTTCATTTCATAATTAATGACAGAACTATTTAAAGTAAATATAAAAAAAAAAGATTAAAAAAATGAAAATATGAAAAAATATTTTTTAAATATAAAAAAATATTAAATATTAAATTTCGGACACGAAACAATATTTCAACAAGTTACGTGGCTGTTGCTAGAGAAGAAAACTTGGAAATACTTTCGTAGAAGTTTAAATATGTTTTAAGATGGAATGACAAATGCCATTTCAAGGCAAATAAAGTTAAGAATCGCAAAATAAACTTTAGCATCTTACATCATGCTTCCGCAATGAGCGAATGGTTCTTGGTTTGAGTGGATATGTACGTCAGGGCTACTCGCGCATGTGTAAATTGTGTATACTATGCGTTACAATTATAACCTCGGGTGGAATTCTTCAATCTTCATCGTTGCGACTCGTCTTGTATCACAGGTACCATGTGGACTCATTGTCCAGTATAAAATCTCAGTAATATTTAATGATATAATAATTCTCGAAAAATTTTTACTTAATCATCTCTTTAATACTTTTTAAAATTTTATCTACTTTTACTCAATCTCTCTCTCTCTCTCTCTCTCTCTCTCTCTTTTTAACTCTATTCTCTCTCTTTCTCTCTCGACTTTCCTCTCTTCTATCTCTATCTTCATCTATCCCTTTTCTATTTTTCTCTTTATTCAGCGCTTCTTGTTACTTGATAAACGGCCTCAGGAAATCTTTTTTCTCATCTTCTTCTTGGCATGCATTTTTAAATATCCCGTCAAGATTTCCGATGACGTACGCTAAGACTGCAAATAAGTACGATTTACCATTATTTGACGGTAATCGCAAGAAACACAGCGAAAAGTCTTCTCTTCGCAAATCGTCGGGGAAAAAGAAGCGTTTAGTCGATTGCTCGGCAATCGAGTACTTACTAAATGATTTGCAAGGTAACAAAAAGTGGTATGGTAAGCTCAGGTAACCTGGTGGCCGTTTATAAGTACATTTGTTTCGAAACTGATGTAATATTAAAAATCAATGGAGAACAGAAAGAATGACGAGTTGATACTATTTTATTTATGAAGTTTCGAGACGGGAGCGCTTTTTTTAAACATTCTCTTTGTAATTCTTATCTAATCTCACTCAATCACCGATGAGACGAGTGCGATGGGCAATACGATATGTGGAACTGTAAGTAGGTAAGAGTATCTCGGATACTTTTTTCGCTCTTTTTTAATCTCTTTTTGATATATATTTATATGTATACATTTTCCATATTTATATAATTCTCTTTGTCTCTTTTTCTCTGTCTCTCTCTTCTCTTTCACTTTACACCTCTTTCTCTCGCTTTCTCTATCTTTCTCCTTTTTGTCTTTAATACGTCTACATATCTACTCCAATCACACACATATACACACACACACAAAACACATACGCGCACACACATCCAAATACATGATTATCGTACACTCAACTTCTACAACTTCCCCCTTTTCTATCAGATCCGTCCCGACATAGACACGTTTAAAGAAAACTCATACACGCGATTGATTTCAGGAAATATACGCTCACGGCCGAATTTCGAATTTTACTAACATACTTTTCTCTGTCAATATCTAGGGGCGTACCGTCGAAGAGCCCAACGCTGACGCATAGTCCCACTATGTACGGTGACGCGCTTAATGCCAACCTGCAGGTAACTATTAATAATTAATTTCTGGAACACGAGAATTGTCTCATGCACTTTTGCAGTCTACTGTCTTAGTCGAGCGATTCGGTATGCATTAAAGTGAGTCAGTGCCACATAACGAGACAAATAATTGGCTAGATATATACTGTTTAAATTAATCAAATAACTATTTTAGAAAGATTCGCAGACAACTTAATGAAATTCTGCAGTCCATTAATCTTCTTCGATAAATTGCCATTAGCAAATAGCTGTGCCAAATAGAAGCAAAGCTCTAGTCCTGTATAGTCAATAATAATGGTCAATAATATAGTAGTTACTGTATAATAAATAAGAAGCGATTTTTTTAAAATAATTAATGCGTAGTATCTAAGTGAGATGAGTGATTTGGTATTAAATCAGTAATAACTAACCATCTAATGCAATTTGAGTATTTCCAGGCACTCGGGGAGTCTAATATGGGATTTTTGAATCCGATGTGCACGTCAACAGCGACAAGTCCTGATAAGGAACATGTGTTACCTCATAATGACTTAATGTAAGTGACGTTTGTGTCGTTAAGCGCGTCATTCGTTTATTCCTCGCACATTTACAATACATTTCATCAAATATTGACCGTATAGCGTCATTCGAATTCTCGCGATAACTCTTTTGTCTTACAAATCTGCATTTGTGTCCCTATATATTTTCGGTATGTTGTTTCAGCTTATAATAATATTGTCGAAACGTGCCTAGAATCTTTTCATTTATCCGACATCGTGCAATTTGTTTTATTCACGGACGGTTTGTGTTTACGAACGGTTTATACACGTACCACTTCAATCGGGCGCGCGGTGCAAAAGCCGGTGGAAATGCCCCTATCCGCACGTGTACTCTCTCTCGCAAAATACAAACTATCCGTTGCAGCCGTTGACAAACCGCATGAAACCGCGGCAATGAAACAATACCGGAAAAAGTGAAATCGTTATTCCCCCTGTTGGCCGTGTCGCTAAAAAAAATATACCGCCGCTGCCGCCGCGTCGGTCGCCGCGCTCTATGAAATATATATCCCGACACACACCGGCGGGCGCGGTCGCGCTCTCGCAAGTTTTCCACTCGTATAAGCGTACACAACACGTTCGCGCGTGTCGTCGATTCAACAGGTCGCCGCTGGATGAACCGGCCGTGCACATAAAGCAGGAGAGCCAGAGTCCGGAAGGAGGGAAGCACACGAGATTAATAAAGCGCGAGCTGCCGGACGGCCCCATGGAGCAGGAGACGGAGGAGGATCAGACGGACGAGAGGGAATACTCGGAGAGCCACGGCCACGACTCCGGCCAGGACGAGGATATAGCGGAGGACCTGTCGATGGCGCCCGACATAATGATCCCGGAGGATCAGGTCGAGGCGTAATATCGCCCCCGTCGCAATGAACCGATAGAAACGAGATGTGTACAAGGTGTCCCGTTTGTTCGGTCACGCGAAGAGAGGAGCCCTTCTACGTTGACCAGGGTCTAGAGTAGAGAACGGAAGTATAAGGAAAGAGCGGAAGAGAGCACGGGGTTGCGAGTAAGCGGAAGAGTAATCGAGCAGTGTGACTCGACGAGAAGAGGACGATGAAGGCCCTCCAGGACCACCCACCCCCCTCCACACTCCTCCTTCGTACGAGTTCCCCCCTCAACGTATCATATCTGTGCCGCACGGCGTCCCGAATGGCGGCTTTAACGGAAGAAAAAGGAGCCAATTCGAATTTGTGAAAGGACACTGTCGGGTTAAGCGACAACGGTTGGCGAGCGGTACCACCGGTCCAGCTAGGACGTCCGACGCCCGCGCCGGTAGCGTCGTAAATCTCGGCGACATGTGGAAGCGATTCATATCCTTACTCAAACAATTGCGAGCAACGATCTACATACTTTATTTTCCTCTCGATCCTTTTTCCGTTTCGGAGCCGCGGTTATATCTAATAGACACGTATACATAAATATATACATATATCTTTCTCTCTCTCTCTCTCCTCTCTCTATCTCTCTCGTGTACATTGCATTAGAAATTAATGTAGCGACGATAGGGCACCGCGCACGGCGCGCCATGCGGTCGGCGCGCCTTACCGGACGCCCCGGAAACACGACGGGAAATATATCCTTCGCCGGAGGAACCGATGTGGTCGCGTCGCGATTATTGCATTTTGTGACAAAACTTATCGAGTACGATGGCAACTCTAGCAGGTCTTTGAACTTCTTTATGTTGTATCGAACTGATAAACAATGTAACTTTACAAACGATTGAAAATATGTATACTCTACATATATATACATTATACGTGAAACACAATTTTTACGCAATACTTGACGATATTTTCTTTGTGTTTCGAGAAAGTCAAATTGTTTTTGTTTTAATTACGAATATAATTATCCAATAATTTATGCGATCAGTGAGAACATCGTACAACGCAGAATAACGTGCCATATTCGCGTCGGTTCAATCTTCAATTCGGATCTTTCAAAAAGAAAAAAAAAAAACGTCGACAAGAATCGACGCGCCGGTTCCGCCGGAGAAGCGAATCGATCAGACAGTACGGCGGGATTGAATCCACGAAATAAATCGATGAAGCCGCGATGGTGGTGGTGGTGGTGGGTACGTACGGGAGCGACTGAGTTTAGTCTTTAAGGCCTACCTTTCACCTAGCGAACGAAGAGCTATTGTGTGAGCTATTGTATCGCGACTATACGCGGGTCCTACCCCTCGAAGAGGCCCCGGTATCAGACACACATACACAAGTTTAAACTAAGAATCCGCATCCGGATGACGAGACCGGATGCGTCCCGGCGTACCCGTCCGCTACACTTGGTAGCACTCTGTATAGTCTAGCGAAGTTAATCGTAAGTCGTATTCATTAAATGGTAATTAACCGGTCGAAGAGAGAAAGAAGAAAAAAAAAACACGAGGAAAAGACCGGCCAGGAGGCGGCCGATGTTTGTAAATGAGCGCTACGATACGCGACACGCGCGCGTGCGACGATCTTTCAAATTACCTTCCGATCGAGCCGGTCAGGGATCCGCGAATGCAGAAACGATATTACATATAGGTGTACGTGGCTCCGCGACACGATCGATGACACACACGAGCGAACGTTACGAACGGGGATAAGTGGGAAGATCGCTAACGCGACGTTTCATAATCACGTATACGTACGTGCACATTACACGGCAAAACGAAATTCCAGATTTGACGCTAATATCTCGACGGTTTTTTTTTGTACGATATATATACATATATATATATATATTTAATTTCACCGTTTCTATGGTATAGGATAGACTCAGCGCCGTGACGAGATGGTGCTTTTCAAGTTCAATGCAGTGAAAGCTAGTATTTCAACTGCCTTGGACAATTAACATAAAACTTTCGAGTTGTTATGTATTACGCGTTCAAGAAGATTATATTATAGTTATTAGCACTTCCTTCTGTGATACGTGACGAATATATAGTAAGACCACTATATTTAATTATATATATATAAATATATACAGACGAGTAAGGGACTTATACATATGTATCTATACGTTACAAGTCGTTTTTGGTTGCTAAGTCTATTATATATCGACATATTTCCAATGAATTACCGGCAATTAATACATGTCACGCTACTGAATCGAATGTCGAAAAAAAATTGCATAAAATGGCAAGATATCACGTTAATGATCTCCCTACTTCTCTAAGCATGAAGTCTATAAATAAATTAAAAAGGTACTATGCATATACACATATATTAATACGTATACGTATCGAAATTGTAAGGAATTAGATGTCGACAAGCCCTCTCCATCAAACTTTTTCTCCCCGTCCCCCTTCTCCCCCCGTCCAATCCTAGTCCTACTATATGCATACCAATCGAGACCAGTAGATTTCTTCTAAAGTGCGCGGTCTCCAAATCCCGAAACACACACGAGTATAGAAAAGCGCGCTGACATCGGTACGGCGAGCAACTTCAAATTGTACGGAGTCTATCGACACGACACGAATAATTCGAATTTTCTCTTGAGCCGTCAGTATTTTTTTGTAGTCTCCGTATGTATTTAACGATAAATATTTGTCGAGCTTAGATGCTAGTTTAATTGCCACGAGGCGCCCGCGTCACCTCTGCGCAGTGACTGGTGGAGACGAAAGGGGGGGCTATTTTATTAGATTATAACAAAACATTATGTGCAATTTGAAAAACTATTATTTCAGCTACGCAAAGTTACTTTGTATCACGAAATATTTAATGTTGAGTTGAACAACTTCGCGGCGTCGTTGAATGCAATAAATTGTTTTTTTTTTTTTTAATTAAATTTAGAAGGATCTTCCATGTTCATTTGATATTTGTTGTCAATAGTTGTCAAATCTTAGTTTCAGTTGTTAAAAAATACGATTAATTCTAATTTTATTGACGTTATTGCACATGGCAATAATAGGTGTTGATATTTCAGTGCACTTAAGTAGAATGCGGGAGTTTGTGACATTTCACGATGATCCTTTTTTCAGGCGAGCGATGCTATTACAACCCGTTTTGAGAAGTGCGATTTGATTTAATGAAAATATAAAATATTGAAATTGTTTTCCATGCGTCGTCCAACTTCTTTTTCACTATTATTATCGCGAAAGAAACAACGCATCTCAAACCACAATTAGTTCGGATCTTACAATAGAAACTCACGAATTTTCGCAGTCTAGTTATAAGATGCATGCAAAAATAATGTAAAATTTTATTAATGGATAAATACATTATACTTCGTTTCTGTTCGCCAGTCTAAGCAGGTGTCTTTTTCTCATTTCTGGGAACTGAACTATAATAACGCGAATGTACGAATTAGAGTATTTCAGTAAACAATCAAATAAAAATAAGAAGATACAATATTATATTAATATGATACAAATATTATGAATTTTATATTTGAATTTGAAAATTTCGACAGTCAAATTGACTAGACGAGCACATATTGTTCGAATAAATCTTTTTTCTGTAACTCGTAATCTGCAATTTCTATTATCACACAGCTTTTTATATGCATTGCATATATACTTGTAATATGTACAGATGCGTCAATAGCTCTACTCGATTATTGTTGCAAGCATTGTTTTATTATTTTTAGAAGGCATTAAATATTAAAGAAACGTTTCCTTATACTTTTACAATTGCAATTAACGTTATTATTTCCCGAACATTGACAAAATAAAACATTGCGGAATTGTACAGCTTTCGCGTTTCGAGCTATAATAAGTAATTTCAAACCGACAACCAACTTTAATTAACGAGACATACATATCTGCGTTGTGAGGCTTTGACAGATTTGTCGCTGAATAATTTAAAACACGAAATTGATATATTTGCATGTACTTGTCCTGAGTGTAAGTCTCTGCAGGGTTAAGGAATAATTAAATCACACACAACGCGCGTAGAAGGAAAGACAAGCGCGAAGAGCGAGAGAGAATGCGAGGTGTGTATGTGTGTATGTCTGCATTTTTTGTGCGAGGATGCCGTAAACCGTTCGGCAGTCACCTGGTTCACCGATGAAATTTTGCGAGGTTCATTGCCGTTTGGGCTTGCTTTCGCGTAAGATACCTATTAATAATCTAAGTCTATATGTTTTATGTATAATGAATTAAGAGAACTTGATACGCGCCAATACACGCAAACACACACACACACACACACACACACACACACACACACACACACACACACACACACAACACACACACACACACACACACACACCACATACACGCACTCACACATGTATGACATAGAAGACTCTCCTGTAAATAATTAAATTCATCGAGGCATTAGGAATTTGCGCATACGTCATTCGCGGACGGATGATTCTGCTGATATCGCGGCCTGATACGCGCGTATATACGTGTGCATGTGTTGCGCATGAGTGTAATTGTGTATGCGAGTGCACGCGTTAAATTACCCGTTAAATCCCGTATGCATTTAATTTCGACTCGTGAAGTCTACTCTCTCTTGTCTTTCTCTCGATGTTCTCGGGAGGACGTATAATTCGACGGAAGACATTTTCTCGTTTCGCCCGGGTGAACGTTCGTCACGTCGCGGGGAGGAGCGGGGCCCGACGACCGGATAATTTATAATTGATAATCGGTTAAATTGATCGATCAAGCGCCGCGTCGCGTGACGTTTTGGGCGGGCTCGCGCAACGCGTATCTGCTGCTGAATCTTTTTGTATTACGACAATGTTATACACACGTACCCACAGATGCTTTATTATTAATGTTTTCCTTTTCTTTTTTGTTATGTTTGTTGATTGAGGGCAATTTGGATTTATGTACGCGGGCATTGCGATCGATTAGTGCGCATTCGGGCGAGAGATTATTTCATTACTTTGCCTACACAATGCTGCAGAAATTATAGCTTTTTTCCCCCTTTTTAATCGTGCCGCGTTGAACTTTGCAAAACGCTCGAAAAATAATTGCCGATAACGAACTCGATAATCAATCGCCGGTGCATTACTTGGCATTTTATTGCTTCGCTCTGACGAAAACGATGGCGATTCCGTGGAATCATATCAGATAGAATCGAAGTATCCAACATGAACAGTGCCAAATCGATGCTGATGTTTATTTGTTTAATGCCAAGATAAAACCGAATAAAAATATTCGGATCCTGAAGAAAATTATTGCTAATTTCAAAAAATTTTTATTAAATTCTTTATCTTCCGTCATTAACCTGCTACAGAAATTCAATATAGGCAGATGACAAAATAAAATGATTGATTGTCGACATTTGTGCAATAAGTTGCAATATGTTATACATTGATTAATGTCCGAATATATTACAATTTCTATATATATATTGTGTATATATGTGATCGAGATGGACATGTTCATGACAAATTTCGCGTTTATTATTAAAATCGCGTTCCACACAATATTCTCGCGAGAGTGTACGTAACACATCGTAGGGATTCCCGTCAAATAAAGCATTTCCTCGCAAGCAAATCAAACATGTTAGAACAAGGACGTACAAACAAGTGTGGTTTTTAACATAAAATAATGTATCTATAATCTCTGCAAAATTGTAGAAAATAATTTTCTACATAGTCTTACTTTTTAAAAATATAATTTAAAGTAATTTGCAAAGGAAAGAAACCAAAGGAGGTTGTTATCGCAATTCGAGCTCGCGCAAAGAAGCGAATTCCATGAAGGATAACCGTGTATAATCGATCGAATAGGATACCGCCGGCATAAATTGAAAATTATTGCATTCTCCTACAATGTTTATTGTCTGGATTACTTTGTTAAGTATTTGTATGATAAGTTGCCTTGTAAAAATGTACCGATTTTACTAAGAAATTAAATGTGTTACTGAAAGAAAACCATGCACGATTTCTCTTCAACTGTTCTTATCAACCTCCGGTCTTTACGTTGGGAATGGTAATGGACGGAGCGTGGTGATAGCCGATTAAGTAGTTATAATTGTAAGTACCGATGAATTTATAATTTTCACCGTACTTTCTTTGGATAAGACTGACATCGTTTGTATAATGCTTGATAATCCCGTTAGACGTATCGAGATTTATATACGTAAATTAATGTATCTATGGAAATATATGTCTATAAATATATATATAGATTGCAGGAAGCACTTATATCGTACTGTAAATAGTGAATTTACGAAATCACATTTTCAAGTTCGGCATAAGCGTTAGTATTAAGATCCTAGCTGATATAGAATTATCTTGAAAGGATATATATACTTATATAAATATATACATATATATATATAAAATAAAAACTGCAACATATATAAAACACGAGAATTTTAAGCTCTTTAAAAATTCTGTGTTCAAATTCCCTGTTAATGCATTTAATAAAGGGATCCTAAACACTTCTTGCTACTTGTTATCACCTTTTTGATATGATTCTGTTTTTAAGTCATTATCATTCTTGAATAATTATGACATTAAACATTGTAATTTTTGTATATGACGCGCTATCTTTGACACATCAAAATACTTTTTCTAAATGTATGTTTTGTTTAATGGAATGGAATATAAAAATGGTTCTCCAAATTTTTCATTCACGTTTCACAGTTAGCCGCCTAATTCTGAATTTTATTTATGTCACTTGCAATCAGTAATATATTTAACATAAATGGAATATCATATATCCAACTGAAAATGTCATATGCAGCTGAATAAATAAAGAATATGAATGCTTATAATATTTATGTTAGTCATAATTTATTTAATGCAATGAGCGGATGTTGTAAAAACTATTATAAAATTTTTATGTTGAAACAAATAGCAGAAGATTTGGCAACAAACAAGATAAATGAAAACTTTGAAATATCTTCAGCTGATAACATGCTATGTAATAATTAATCATAATAGAAAAAACTGTAATTTAATTACGAGCAATATACAGCGAGAAGATTTTTTGTAAGGTTTTAACATTTGTAATTTTATTTTCGTTAAAATTAACGCAATAATGATGTCATCATTATCAAATAAGTTTGGTAAATTTCAATAAAAATTGGTTAGCCAATAAACAAATAAATATTTCAATTAGAATGGATGTATATCATATTAATTTTACAATTTAAATTATTTTGATATTTTCTCATACATCATATTATACAGTGATTTTTTTCTGCTTTTGTATAATTGTTTTTCAAATTATCTATTTATTTTGAATTATTAAATTATTTTCCTTTCTTTGGCAAGATTTTTATAAGATTAATGGTTTACATAATACTTTTTTACTATTATTGCTAAAATATTCTTCTTTATTTGTCAAAGTTATTTACATAAAACTAAATTGTTTAATATATAACGCATTTATTACAAAATACGTTAAGATTCTATTAAAAAATCAAATCAAATGGAATATTTCATTGTAAAAATAATTATTGTAAATTTATAGAATCGTAGTTAACATTCAGAGTTGATCGTAAGTTGGATCTGTAAACACTATGATACATAAGTCTCAAATTTTAAGCAAGCTAAATCCATGGTAGTCGCTGATGCTAATATTGGAAAAGTCGATTTTGTCTAATTTTTCTTTGAAAGAATAACATAGTGCTCGATTACAAATCGTACGCAGTGCGCGTTTGTTAAATCATTTCGCAGGCACAGCAATAATAATTTTTAATATTAATGTATAAGATGTACGGTAACAAATGTATTCTCCACTATTCTCTATTTTATATCATTATAAAAGTCATCTTTTAACTTATTCTTAGTGTGTTGAATCCTGGCTTAGACGATTTACCTGCAGCTGCTATTACAGACAAGACGTTTTTCACTGCTTTAACAAGAGAATAGTTAATATAATTGTTAATTTAATTGTTAACATTCCGAACGATTTTGTATAATTTATAAATTATTATTTTTATTCCCTACCTGGTGAAGAATAAAAAATTAGATGCCTATCTATATCGTTGGCAAATAGAAACAAATTCGTCGAAATGCTATAAACTGTAAACTTGTCACACTCATCCGTCGTTCTTCTGACTGTCTATATCCCGCAAGTGATTAGATAATAGTTCCCATTTCGACGCCCATGGAGGCTTGTCCAGTCCCTGAGTGTTAACTTCCTCTATCAAGTTCATCAGGCGAATGAAGAATTCGTTGAGCTTACCGGCGGTGCCGCGTCGCAGTTTGTGGAAATGCTTCTCTGAAACGCAAGTTTTCACGTCGACGGAAAGTATCATGTTATGTCTCTATTAGGATTAATCAGTTCAATAGTGATAGCTAGAGCGACAAAAGTTGGTGTCTATGAATCTGCGTCCTTTGCAGTCGTCATAAAGACGATTATCGATGTTGAAATATAAATAGGATAAAAGCGGACATATGTGTTGGACAAATCGATATTTCTGGGGATCGCGATATGACGCAAATAAGGTATAGAACTGATGGATGGGACGCAATTATACCGAGTGTCTCTAAACATCTTTAAGCAAATGTTATTCTTGAAGACTATCAGCTTCACTATCAGGCTTTTGAAAATTATTATCTTAATTAGGTATATATTACTTTCCACGCGAATAATTTTTTATTATTAGTTTTTTTTTATTATAGCGAATAGTTTTTTTTTTATTATAGCGTTATCTAATAAAGTAATAATTGTTAGTTAAAAAATAGAAACAATTAAAATATATATACATACTTGGAGGATGGAAACAATGTTTGATCCAAATTGTTTGCTGCGTCAGTGCCGCCATTAGTCTTTTGGTAATTAAACTCTGGCTCTCAGTTGTCACAGGCCTCAAGCGAGTAATGAACCGCAAAAGATATTCTAATAAGTATCTTGTGTAGACGGATAGCTTTCCAAGGCATCGCTGCGGCTTGGAACTCCACACGACAATGTAACTGAGGCTGTCAACGTCAAGAAGGGGATGCTTGAGACCTTCCAACCATTCGAACAGCAATGTTGATAATAATTCCAAATTAGTTTCCAATTCTAATCGCTGCCAGGCGGTACATCGATGATTCAAGTCACTCTGAAAATATATTTTTAATTTTCTTATTATTAACACTAACACTATTAATTATTATATAAACGTACAATATTACGAATAAATTATTATTTACTGTTATTTAGTAAAAAATATCAGTCAAATTATTACTATACTTTACCATACTTTACAATTAATATTTAAATAATTTTCTATAATTGAATATTATTATGTTATATTATATTTTTCGAATAAATTAATCGCTCTATGTTGTTTCGAAAATCAAAATAGACATTTCTATTTTTCTTTTAAAATTTTGCATTATTGTTTCTTAATCCAATATATTTTAATCGGATTGCTACAAATTCTGTAAACTAGACGGTAATGAATAAAAATTGTGTCTTCAACATGACTCCGTCTTAATCACAATTGCACCTTGATTGCAACTTTAAAAATAGAATTACATACAATATATGTTACACATATAATACAATACATCTGCGATGTACAGTAAATTGATTCATTCTGTCAGTAAGTCTATAGACCGTGCACATTATTCACTATTCACGATTCTAGGGCTGGTTACAAGCGTAAGCATTGAAGCAATTGGACGTAGCTTGAAGAAACTGAATGAATGATCCTATATATACGCGTGCGATAATTATAACGTACACGCTGAAAATCTTAAATGGTATAGTATCTAAAAATGTTTTTCTTTCTCTTGTATACGGGTATATGAAATGCACCTGATACTCCTGCAAACGTTTCTTTATCGGATCGGGAAGTGAGGCGTTATTTTGGATGAGCGCTTTGATAGCTTCTTCGGCCGTCACTGTTTCGTAATCATTGCGGGAGACGCTTCTTAAGTCCATGTGCGACTGAATCTCCTTGTAACAGTCGTTATCGAGCAGATCCTGATCGTGAATACCATCGCCCAGGACATCATCCACGCAACTGTCGTCTAGAGCTGTTGCAATGTAAAATTAGATTGTCAGATATAATAATATATATACGTACACAGCGATATTTTAGCGAGATTTCATCGAAATAGATGTAGAAAAGATACCGCCGAACAACCTAAAGTTGAATTTGTCAATAATCAGTACCTGGAAACGCGGAGTCACAGGAAGGAGTATCCGGTGACATGCAAAATACGTCGCTCAACCTTCCTATATCGTCGCAGGTATCTCGGGACGATCCTTGACTACTACTGCACGCTTTTGTGGAAGCTAAAATATACAAATTTTAATATATTATACATTTTTTTACATATACATAATACATGCGATCTCAAGATGTATTTTAAATAAGTAAGTCAAGAAATACATTTGAAAAGTATGAATTTTTTACATTTTAACTTGATCTTTAAAGTACTTAAATGAATAAGAATTATATTTATAAATGCACAGATGTTTACATTAATCAAAAATTGTAGAGTTTTAACAAGTAATTTGGTTATTTTACTGGATAATCTCAGGGATAGGGCAAGGGTTAATTGAATCTCACAGGATTGCTTAATTATTAAATTGCATGTAATACTTCTCACTTGAGAATTCGTAGGAGTCCGTAAGGGATTCCGCCCACGAATAGGAGTGCCGCATATTACCCTTGCCGTCACGGAATTTCTCCAATACGTGGCAGATAAACTTTTGCGTAAAAGGCACGTTGGAAACCGTGTATGAAATCTCGGAAGGCGAATTGTCTTCCTGACAATCGCAGAGCTGCAGTATCCGCTCGCAAATAATAAAAACGATCTAAAAAATACGTAGTTAATTAATCGTGCAGTTTGGTGTATTATATAATCTTGATAATATCAACGAAAAATTAATATACATCCATTTATGATAGCAATTAACAGAAATGTACAATAACTATTGAACCAAAAATTACATATTAAAATAAGATTAAAGTAAATTAAAAATATTTTCTGTATTCTTCAATATTATTCAAGTATTTATATTCATATTTTTTCTCCTTAGAAAATCGGATCTCAAAAATTTAACTTAGACATCATATTTATTAATAATATTAATAAGAATAAATAAGCAAATAAAAATAATTGTATAATTAGAAAATACAGTTTAAATTTTATTTATAATTAAATTTAATTTACTTTAATTAAAAATTAATTAAGTAATATTTAATTATAAATCTAATAAAATTACAAGATTCAATAAAAGAGTCTAATATCACATAAGTGAACAAAATAAAAGAAGATTGCCTCGCACTTTTGGAATATGCTTGAAGGTGCGCTGTTCATATCCGTGTAGCATGTTGTATTGCTTTTTCAGGTACGTTTGAAGGCTATAGGGCTTGCGATCTCCCGTCGTACTGTGCAAAGGGAATACTATCATTTGCGGAAGCACGACGTGCTCGAACTCCTGAATGCAAATTATTTGCCCGCGCGTTTGTATAGCGGAGGGACGCTTCATGCGGACAAATCTAATGGCATCGTTCGCCCTTACACGAAGACTGTAAATAAGGTAGCACGCTATCAAAACGCCGGTTCTGCCGAGACCTGAAAGTAAAATACTTTCGGCATTGTTCTGCTACCGTTGACTTAATTGCCGATTCTAATCAAATATAACTAAGCAAGCAAGCAAGCAAGCATTGTATAATAACATAAATCAGTGATCGTAGCGCAAATAAAAAGTATTTTTAACTATTATTATACTAAAAATAGTGGTAAAATGTTATGTATGTAATTATATAAAGAAAAAATTTGACCGTAAAAGTATTTTTACTGATGCTTAATAACACCTATTAAGAAGGGAAAATAGGCGATCGCAATTTTAGATTACATGTAAGATTCGAGGTGATACGAAATGTAATGGAAGCCTATCAACTATAAGCGAAAATATTCGCATTTTAGATTCCAAGAATAGAAAGGATAGGAAACCGTCGATCACATTAGGTAACCGTGTTGGTGATAAAACATCATTGTATCGATCTAAAAAGTTTTACAGATTAATAAATCGCAACTGGAAACCGAAATGTCAACTATAGTCTCAGATTGTCTTAGAATAAGAAGCAAGCACATTTACATGACGACATATGGTGAATTTGTTAGATAATATCTGACTGACGGTTAACACTACTAGAATCTCGTACATTTTCCTTTTATAATTAAGTCACGTAGCATGCACACAAGACATTTCTGGAGTTGTAGCACGCTGATCAATTCAACTAACCGCGATAACTCCCGCGGCGCGGATAAATCCTGCAATTTAACTTTCCTAATCGCGCTCGTTAGATTCCACGTTGTTATCTAAAATCCTTTTGCTACATTTGATTTTATCAATTTTAATTCTTAAAAGCGATGATCAGTATTAGACCGTAAGAATTTAGAATTAAAATTAATATGCCATATTATTATTTTAGTCTCTTCTCTTGTTGACAATCGAAAGGAGTGACAATCGAGTGGACATAATTACAATTAATTAATATTTTGATGGAAATAAGGATTTTGCGATTTTTCAACTTCATTCCATACGTGACTTTTTATAAACCATTAGTATTTTCTAACAAGAAAGTGATTGTGAACTGGCGATAGTTTCGAAGCAACCATTACGAAGAAACTGATCGATCGATCGGAATAGTCACCTACTCCGCATGTCCTTAAACACCACTTTGCATAATAATTTCTCTGACATATTCTCCTTTCGAATATTATCGATAAAAAAAAATCGTATCACTCATATCTTAAATTAGTTTGATCCCATTAATAATTAAGTAAAAAATATCGAATTAATATTTAAGAAATAATACAAAATATATATTGTGTTTAAAAGAAATAAAATTCATAATGAAAAACAAAATACCTTTGAAGAAAATTTTGTAAATTTAGTATATCAATTTAAGGGTCTGTTGTTTTACCTTCCAATAAACTATGTGGTAATTTATTTAATGGATAAATATCTGTACAGCCAATGCTATTGGCTCAGCATTCACTTATCTATTAGATAAATTATTGTTAATTTATCCGAAAATGGAACAACCAATCCTAAGTGAAGTTACAAAATTACCTCATTATTTAATAAAAATTTTGTAGCTTTAGCATACAATTAGTTAAACAGCATAAAACTTATAGTCAAATAAAAATAAATTATTGATATATTTAAAAGCAATTCTATTTAGAAGACAATCTTATTCTTATCATACATAAGAATAAAAGAAGATTACGTATTAATTTGTTGCATAGTTTTAATTTGTTAGCATAAGAAGATTACGTATTAATTTGTTACGTTGTCGACCTTAGTGATTATATCTCTAACTCCCAGCACATGATAATTTTAAAATTACATTCAGCTTTCCGTATACATATTGTATGTATACATATGTATCGAAGCGGGTACTTTCTTCATCATATATATTATTCACATGTAAACAAACGTGGTATAGCAATACGGGTGTAAAAGTATGTATACATATATCGGTCTTAAAAATACATTATGTACGAGATCGCTTATCGTTTCATCCGCATTTTATGTTCTTAATGGAATGGAAATTCTCTTGCGACGCGGCAACGCCAACGAAGCTAATAGATTATTATGTTAAATGGATGAGCGCAACAGACTTATTATTAATTTATTATTTTTAATATATTTATCTCAATAATTATATGCTTTAATTCAATTAATAGAGTGCAATTATATAATAACCAGATATTGGTTTTTTTATAAATTAAGTTATTTTTAGTCAAATAATTATTTGACAATTATTAAGATATCATGTAAAGAGCTATGTAGTATTGAACAAATTAATTATATATCGATTGTTCATTTATTTGCTTATAATAAAAGTATTTTGAACTTTTGTAATAGTTTACATATTTATTTTACATAATGATTTATCTCAAATATAATTTCTATAAAAGGATGTGTTAAGTAGAGAGTGCAAAGCGTAAAAAATTAACATAAAAATATTGATAAAAATCACATCGCATTGTTATCATGTAAATTAAATTTTACCGTGCATAACTTAATCGAGATTACTATTTCCTGCCTTCAGTATTAGATAAAAGTTATTTGCGTGTACAGCGTAAAGATTCGAATATACAGTATACATATGTATAATATATGTACGTCGGTCGACTTTGTATACATGCAATGCAACACGACATAATATCATACACGACAAACTTTTTTCAACCGTTGCTTAAATCAATATACATTTAAAACTTACAGATGATTGATAAAGATATATAAAAGTCATTCAACCAAAATTTTACCAAAATTCATAAAAAAAACTAATAAATAAATGGAAAAAAAGCAATCAATTAAATCTAAATAAAAAATTCATAAATGATAAAAGAAGATAATATATAATAAATTTTAAGCTGGAACTAAAAAACGTGGAAAACGTATTACAATTGCTATTTTTGAAGAAAATATATAATTTTATTTAATATTATATACTATGTATCCAAATTAAATATTGTTATTATCAAAAATATTAACATTGCATTATGTATATTAATATGTATTTTCAATTAATACAAATTTTTAACAAATACTTTTAAATATGTATATCAATAAAGCGCAAAAAAATTTAAATAAGAATCACATGAGAGTTATAATTACAATTAAGTGACATAAAATAAATGCAAAAAATTGAAAAAACATACCAACATCGTCAAACTGAGGAATTGAATAAGATCTACGTCTTTAAGGGCTTCGATAAAAAAAAAGCAGTGTTTCCGTAGATTAATTTATGTATCCACATCGATCTCACACGATCATGCATTCAAAAAGCCATGATAGCTGCAGGGGATGCAATTGGGTCAAGTATACTGCACGAAAAATCGATTTACCGGCATGACAGTGAATGGCCACTCTTCCTTCTTGCACGGCGAAGGCCACAACCTTGACCATATCCAAAAGTTTCCCCACCGTGGCGCTACCATAATCCTTTAGGGCGAAATTATAATAATAAACTGCAACAGATTTTTACGTGATCGGTATAATTGAGATGACATGACAGCTTGATGCTAAAACCTTCCTGTCGTAGAGGAAATAAGCGATTTCCTCTAATAACATCAAACGTTATTTCGGAACTTTTCTTCCTCTCTATAGATATACGCTTTTGCTGCATTGCATGTTATATCGCGAAACTCTTCGATCTAACTGGTGGTTGTTAGGATTGAGGGAGAAACGCTCCCACACGATTCTACGTGTGTTTAACACAAGGACAAACTCCCTTCTACTTCATTTTCACTATTATTCTTGCTGATTTAAAAGTAAAATTTCTCGCCGTTTTTACTTTGCCGCTATTATTATTTATAATCTACATATTATCATGTAAATGCGAAATGCGATAAAGTAAGAGTGATTTGAGTAAATAGCTTTGTAAACGTTGTATTATACTTTGCGATGTACTGATAGTCGAAACGAGTTTTGTTAAAACATTAATATTGCTTCACTTATTCGCCGATAAAAAAAGATATCAAAATGTAATATTAATACAAATGTAATATTAATACAAATGTAATATTAATTGAAATGTTCAGAAAAATTATTAAACTGAAAATTATAATTTTCTAGATCTGACTTATTTTTATTTCAAGGATATATATTTTTGAAAGTGGAATCAACTGTTTAAAAATTATTCTCATTGAGAAATGAGACGAGGAATTTAATAAGCAGTTAATAAACACTGCAAACGAATTTTAGTAAATCTTTAATATTTACTGTTAAGTAAATCTTTAATACTTACTGTTATTTTTCATAAAAACGTTGGGATCATATGTAAAGCCACTCTCTTCTAGCGGACCACCGCAACTCGCATGTTCGCCAGGTGTTTGCAGATTGATTATGGTTTTTATACTCCACCCTTGAAATTGGGCAATTATATCTTTCTTTATTATCTGCGCGGTATTAGGTCGTGCCATCGCAAGGACATCGTCAGTTACCCTAAAACGATTTAAATGATTAAATCGTTTAGATCGAAAATCAATATGTATATGAAAGCTAGATAAGTAATATGTTAAAAAAATTTCCGACTATTACATCAATTATTAATTTATATATCGATGCAACGAAGCACATATTAATATGCCAATTGTATATTTGATCTAAATATAGTACTGAATAAATTTTCGGCGCTGTTGCAGTTGAACGATATGCTTCGACAAAATGTCAATAATATAGTTCAAATATACAGTATATGTCTTTAAGTCCACATAAATTATCGAACGAGTTATAAGTATTGCCGAGTAATATTAAAATAGTCCGGAACTATATACAAAACGAATGAATACATATTTGTCAAATTAATTATAGTTGGTTATTGTTACCAGATTTACGACAGTAAATCTAAAATTATAGTTTCGTTTCTTTTATATTTGAAACAAAGCGTTAAAAGTGACTTTACTGTTAAATTATTAAGAAAAAGTAATCATACTTTTATTGGCAAAGCTTTGTTGTTGCTTGTTATTTAGTATAATTAAAAATATTATTTCTTCTTATATTGTCATTCATTCTATTAAAATTTGACAAGCGGCTGTGTGGCGCTCACCAATGCGAAAAGATGTTCTGTATTGCCATGTGGACAGCCGGCCAGGCTTTTGGATTCTCATACTTGCATCTGGACCCGCCGCAAAAAATGGCGCACTGTATAGCCTGTGGTGTCAATCTTCGCAAATTTTCCGAAAACTTATTGTATCCCGCCTGAACCTCGCACTCATCTGTTTGCCCTGCTTGAAGTCCCGCCGGGACCAACGAGCTTACATCCATTCTACAATCGAATGAAAGTCCTGATAGAAACGATTCGTAATTTATTTAACAAAAATTTAGAACAAATCACAATAAATTTGCAATCTTTAAAAAAAAGAGTTTTTAGAGCCTATAACATTTTTCTTATGTATTTTGGCATAATAAGTAACAATTGTGCATCGATATGCCATTCTTCTGAATGCATTTTGTCTAACGCATGAAGTTACAATATGTTCTCGTGTAAAATTGTATAATTAAATGCAACATAAGTGGCAAAATTTTTATGGCAAACATTTACGAGAAAAATTTTTTTAAATTAAATGCGAAGTACGAGACAATATATGTAATATATATATATATATATACATTTGCGAAAATATTCACGCGCTTTTCATCCATCTCATAGCCATGCACGAAATTAACGATCGTTTTTATTAATCACTCTCGTTTATCTAACTATCGGTCCACATATTTAATTTAAACGAGACGCGAATTTAATATACACTGTCTGGTGTAAAAAGAAAGAAAAGTATAAGTTAACGCGGTAGAGTAAGCGCATAGCGACTGGCAGTTCCACTACCATAACGTCCCTTTATCTGTTATCGAATCGCAAGAGTTGCGCCTGCGTCAGGCACGGTGGTAAATCATATTGTCATTCTTATATGTATGGCGTATTCGTACGTAATATTCGAAGTATTTGTAAGCATATAATTTAACGACACGACAAGGTGCACTGACCTTTCGACGTGACATTAAAGTAGAATTAAGATTGCATGCTGATAATATATTTTTTAAAGCCTTTTAGGTAAAGAAAAAGAATTTTTTGTTGAAATCGATTACAATTACATTCATCAATTATTAATTCAATCAATTTATCATATTAAATTATATATATTTATTAGGAAATCATTAAAATATGCATTAAATTAAAAATAGAAAAGTATTTAATGTCAGTTACATATATATTTATTGATATAATATTTGTTATCGTATAAATAATAATTATCACGTGTAAAAATAAACTATTAGTGTAGTAAAAACACTATACTGAAAAGTAGTGGTGTCACCATACTGATATTGTCTCGTTTTTCATCAAGAATAAGTTTTATAAAAATTATATATGCTGTATCACACATTCGCGGTATCATATTTCTAATCGATTTTTCGTCTATTTGGTTATTTGCTTGCCTGAAGCTTCGTCTGTCTTTCCACGTGTTATTTACTTTAAAAATATCGGGAAATGTAGCAGTAATTAAAAAATTTAAAAAATGATAAAATATTTATAGCTATTCAATAACTTATATTAACAACTTTTTAGCTATTATTGCAGACGCTATTTAATATTATACATTATATATGCATAATATAAATAAATTTCCGTGTAATTTTAACGCTCAATGATGGAGCTTTATTAATTTAAATTTTAGATTTGCAGTTTAACTTTTTATGCAAATAAATCCTTAAATTTCATTGTTGGGAAGTAAGAATTAGCGTGTGAAATAAATCGAATAACATTCGATTTTAATTTAATTGTAATATTTAAAAAATCGACCCTTTATGTATACATAAATCGAAACAGAATCAAAATCATATAGATGTAGCGCGGAACAGAACCAAAAGCTGTTGATGTAACGCGTGTTATCCATTGGAAATATATGTAGAAATTGCTACGCAGTTCAAAATTTGTGCATGTAGAGGCGCCAGTGAACAGGTTCCGAAATATATGGATAATCCTGGGTGTATAGTGTAGTTGGTGTGATATTGAGTTCCGTGGACCTATAGTGATAGACGTCGGCCGAGATGTAGGGTTGCTGCCACGGCGTCACCGTATATAAGTATATAACGGCGGAATCATGGCTCGTCAGGTTTAGGGTTTAGGCAGCTTTAAGATAAGATTAATCGAGTAGTATCAAAATCGCACGAACTCCCCGAGCGTATCGGCCGCGTAACCGTGGGTGCAAGAACGTGGACGAGAGATGTCCGGCTTCGACGAGAATCCCTTCGGGGAGCCTACGATTAACGATCCCTTCTCGGTGAGTAAAAGCTCATGTGTATATGTGACAGTGACGAAAGCGAAACACGCAGCACTTCGCGTTCCAATATTGCTCGCGTATCTGTCAAAATTCCCCGGGGCGTGAATCGGTCCAGCCACGCCGGATATTTCGCGCTCGCGAAAAGTCAATTACAATTTGTCGAACAATTTTGCGCCTACAAGCGAAACTTACGATGCTTGGCTAAAGTACTTAATGTACGTGTCATCCTGACGTATCGGTATAATTTGCCTGCGTTAATTTTTTTTTTTATCTTTATGAAGCCAATAATTTGTTGTAAAATCTAATTTTATAAATATTTGCATATTTTATTTGCGTGTTTTTTTTTTGTACGTTCTACATTCTATATATTTAGTAAGATTACTGTATTTTGTAGGCGATTTTGTGACGAATTGAAGTATACCTATTCTATTATTATTTCACGTTTTACAGTTTGATTTTGTAGTCTCGCTTCAAAGTATTACTCAAAATGTATCTTTCTGAATAACAATTCGTTGGAATATATCTTTGTGTGAGAATATGACACAATTGTATATCTATAAGAACAATAAAGAAGGGAGATAAGATAAGCAATTCTATTAAGAGATTAATGAAGAAAAATATCAATGAGTATGTTAACATATGCAATAGGATCCAGCGATACGAAGAGCGGTAACCTCTACACCCGCTAGTAGAGGCCTCGAGGATTATAATCCTTTTGCCGAACAAGGCACTCAAGGAACTACACAAGTCAGAGGGGCAGTAAATCCGCCGATCTATGGCGGAGTCGGTGCGACGCAGCAACCTGCCACGCTTCAACCTACTAATCAAGAAACGCCTCCTCCTGCGTACGCTCGTACTCCCCAGCAAACGGTCAATGCGGCGCTTGGAAGCACCATGTCGGCCCCGTCAGATGTAAATTTTTATTAAATATTTATTTCACGTACATGTGGAGTAGGTGAAATATCTGTTATGATAAGAGAATTTATTTTTATGTTTCAGCAACGGGCAGAAGCGGAATGGAAAGCCAGGGCGGAAGAAGAAATGAGAAATACCCCATACTACCGTTAGTATACATATCATCTATACTTTACAATTTTTAATGTCAAGTGGAAACTGTTTTTAATATAATTTATTGGCACTTTAGCAAGACGAAATAATTGGCCGCCATTACCAGACAAGTGTTGTTTCCAACCATGCTTCTATCAAGATATTGATGTGGAAATTCACACTGATTTCCAAAAAACAGTGAGGCAATTGTATTACCTCTGGATGTGTAAGTTTAATTCTGAGCGATATTGAATTTATTAATGTTATATATGGATAATGATATTTATGTATTGCTTATAGTTCACGGCTTCGTTCTGCTGTTGAATGTAATTGGAGGATTTGTCTTGATGCTGTGTGGCCAGGGCTTCTCAATATTCGGTCTGGCTATCTTGTATCTCATACTCTTCACTCCATTCTCCTTCATGTGCTGGTTTAGACCAGCATACAGGGCTTTCAAGTAAATCCATTTAACATTACGCGAATCAAGTGAAATGTAGGAATTAGAAATAAAGCGGTGTTTTAATTTTTTTTTCAGGAACGATAGCTCTTTCAATTTTATGGTCTTTTTCTTCGTCTTCTTCTTTCAACTAATCGTCACCGGTATCCAGGCTATAGGTATTCCTGGTTCTGGAACTTGGTAATATATTTGTACTATATTTTTAATGCACTTTAATTTTTTATACGTGATATGAAAAAGCGTTTGCATTTTGATACAAATTGCATATTTTTATTTTTCAGTGGCATAATTACAGCAGTTAGTATGTTTGATTCAACGGCCAAAGGTATTTTCCTCGGTCTTCTCATGCTCTTCGTCACGATTTGTTTTCTTATTGCGGCAAGTGGCGATATTTTACTGCTTACTAAGGTACAGTATATAGATATAACCTATAAGGAGTGAAGGTTAATTGGTATTGATCTCGAGAAAACTAAAAATGCGATTATTTTTAGATCCATCGCATTTATCGTACCTCCGACGCGAGTGTTACGAAGGCGCAGCAAGAGTTCGCTACAACATTTTTGCGAAACGAGCATGTGCAAAACGCCGCGAGCAACGTCGCGGCGAGTGCGGTCCGCCAGCAGATGGCTAACGCTGGCCAACCACGTTACTAATAATTCTACCATTTGTTTGTCCTACGAAAACACTATGTTCTGGCTTAACATCATTCAGTAAGTGGATAGATCTCATTAGTTCCACTACTTATGGATTATACGATCACGCGGAAATGCAATGTATTGCAAAACTTTATTCTTACAATGAAATGCTGCGCAAACGTACGAAAGTCGTACTTCACTGATCAAATTTATTCTCTAATGTTGTATTATTAATATTGTACAGTTAATACTGCAAAGTATCTCGAAGTATTAACGGATATTCTAAAGAAATCTTTCGAAACCAGTATGTCTTTTGTTTCTAGCGACATAACATTTTATGTTGAAAGGAAATTATACATATAATATTTCTATATAAGTTTGATGTATTAGTTTATATTACCGTTTATCATGTACGTTTATTTATGAGATCTTCAAACTTAGGTTACAATGATATGAGTGAGCCCCTGATCTTAATCATATCAATCATATATCATTATGATTTTATTACTACATAATTGCTTATATTTACTAGCTTTCATATTTAGTGGCACAGTCTCATGACAATGTGATCATATTATAAGTTATGAAAGTAATTAAATTTATTCCAAGTCTTAAATAACTGCAAGATTCGAATTATAGAATATAATTTGATTCATATTTGTTGAATGTTAACATAAACGCTAATTTACTTAATATTCACAAAACATAACTTTCTTATAAACCTTGTAAAACCCTATACATTCCTGTTTTTATGCAATGTTAAATCATTTTATTATGACTGTTGTTTCTTAAACAGCTCTAGTTTTTATTAAAAACGTAGAATCTGTTAATGACAAGGAAGTTGGATTTTACGAGAAATACATAAATTTGTAAAATATTTTATAATTTTTTTTCATTCAAAGCGTTAAAAATGTTATTTGTTGAAACTGAAATATGCTATGGTTTATTTGTATTCACATATTATAATGATTAATAAACATACATAAATATACAAAACTAAATTTTTTAAAATAATCTTTACAGATATAATCGTATGAATATGAAATTTTCTGTGGAAAATCAAATGTGAAGTTTTTATGAAGATTATCATGTTTAATAAATATTTATCGTGAAGATATTAAATTAAAAATGAACTGATTTTAAATCTCGATTATAAAATACATTGGCAAATTAATATTTATATGTATGCTTCCAATTCTTGTAAATTGAGTCTTTTAAATAAGTCTTTTGCTGTAAAAACATTATTGAGATATTAGTATTGTGTCATAAAATGCTGAAATATTTTTTACATTGATACAACTTCGTAAATTATTTAATGTAGATGTACCTTTTAAATGGTATGTTGCTACTGGATCTGTTGGAAATGGACAACCGGCATCAGAACTGTTAACTAGTGTGGTTCCAACCAATTCTGCTGCGGTCACAGCATCAATGACTTCTACTTTATTTCGGTACATAAGTTTTGCGTGGCCCTCAGCTAATCTGCAAGTATTAAAGCCGGTGACGTTATAGATCGCCGATAATTAAAATTGAATCAGGACAAACAACATTCTAAAATGGAAACTCTTGTCTCATTATTGATGACCCATTCAAATGATTTTTCGTTTTACCTGATAAGACTATCTATGAGCCGCACTGTTGTTCTCTCGGGCCTTCTATTCGGGTCTGATCTGTGATGAAGATAAGTTGCACTGAGTATCTTCTTCGCCTCTTCGGTTAGCGCTGGTTTCAACATACGCACATGTGCGAAATATTCGCACAGAGTCTCTTCCGACCACAAGCCTTCTAAATTCAAAGGACCCATATACATTTCGGAATATCTGCAATAATATTTCATGTTTTATTACTATGAAACGATTACTTGTTACGACGTTGATCGTGTAAAAGGGAAATGTAGGTATTATTACGAATTGTTTTCTTCGTCTTCGCAGGCAGCTTTCAAAATGTGACTCGACGTCATTTTATCCCATTCGGGATTTCTAGTATCTCTCAGGAGAAGGATCAGATCGAAGCGCGACAAGAGAGGATTTCCTAAGCAGGTCTTCCACTCGTCGCCCATAAAACATCCACCGTCCGGGTTGATGGCCGCAATGACGGAGCAGCGGCTGTTCAATGTGCTCACCATGCCGGCTTTGGCGATGGAGATTGTTTGCTGTTCCATTGCTTCGTGCACGGAGGTCCTGTCGTGCGAACTCATTGTCGTGAACTCGTCCACGCAGCACACACCTCCGTCCGCGAGCACTAAAGCACCGGCTTCCAAATGCCAGCCGTCCGAATCCTGCAGTATATATCTCGCAGTAGATTTCTCTTTCCGCATTATTTACAAAATGAGCTCTTAACTGAAACATAGGAATAGAATACATAGGAATGGAGTATTTAACATGTGCACTAACTTTGACAGCAGCTGCTGTAAGTCCAGCGGCAGTACTCCCAACGCCGGTTGTAAAGACAGATCGTGTAGTCAGATGAGAAGCAACACGAAGCAATTGCGATTTCCCGGTGCCGGGATCTCCGACCAGAAGAAGATGAGGATCGCCTCTTATACGTGATCCCGTTTCATTAGTTTTCGCCACACCACCGCACATGACAACGGCCAACGCTAATTTCGCAATGTACATCCCATATAACTGTAGATGATCAAAGAAGAAATAGAATTAAAATGTGTTATTAATATGTTTTTGATATATTAATGATATAAAATATTAAATATACATTCGTGTTAAATATTTAAGAACATTAAATTTAAATGTACTTGTGGACAAATGGAGGCGAGAATATTGTCCCTGCCAGACAATGGATTATCCCGATGATGTTCCCAATACGCTGTAAAAGTATCTTTCATTTCTGCTGTAGAGAATGATGATTCCGTGACTTTCCTGCGTACGGAAATGCTATTTGCCATCAGGAATGTCGTAGCTTCCGCGCGATGGCCAACTTTCAATTTATCCCATTTTCGTATAACTACTCCACTACAAACATTTTTACATTTATAATTTAATTTCTAAATTAAGTTTTATGATTTTGATAACTAAGGATATTTCTTCTATATTGCATCTAAATTGCATCAATAGATATTAAGCGTCAATTATACATGTTAATAGAATACAAATATAATTTGTAGAATACACACATATATAATTTACGAACCTGACATCTACATTATCTCCAGGTTTACATTTGTCAATAAGATCATCCAACAAAATTACTTGCAGACCCACTGAATAGCAACTCCTTGTATCTGTTTTACATTTGTCCTGTATTCAAAATATTGCTCAAATAGAGAATGATACATATAATTATAATAATTAGACAAAATTTATCTGTACCTGAATCTTTATTTCTTGATAATCAGAACAATCATCCTGTTCTAAAGATGTTGAAGCTGTTAAGCTTTCAGAACGACATGATTGACACTGTTTGATATTTCTAAACATTTGTCTTTCCCATTCTAACTAAAGAAAAAATTAAGACTGTTTATATATATATATGTATATAATAGTTTTATATTGTATATGTATATACACTAGCTTTAAGCTATAATTTGCTATAATTTTATACTGTGTTTTTGTTAAACATAAACTAGCGTTTACTTACTTTGACAAGATTAATATGTTTGCATTTTTTACAAATAAAACGTTTTTTCATTTTCATAACCGTGGGCTGAGACATGCGTACCACAATTCCGGATGTCGAAACTAGCTCACCAATTTGACCTACATCGATTTTTATTGGAACTGCAGTAATTCGAATGTGAACCTGTATTAATATGTTTTTATAAAATAAGATTCACACAGAAATATAAATATTTATTTACAATATTTATATATTCATAGTGTAGAGAGAAATTATATCTATTTAAATATTTGCATAATGTAATATATTTTCAATTAATACATATTATATAAAAAATATATTATACAGTTATTGTATAAAAGATAAATAGTAAATATTGCTTTCTATTTGACATAGCTTTACATCTATATTTAATCTATGTAAAAATAAAAATAGTTTCTATTCAAGTAACACATAATTCCACACGCAATATTAATAACTAAAAATAAAGATTCATACCCTCGTCTTCACTGTTTGTTCAGTTTTACATAATTGTTCCTGAGCCTTTACTGCCGCCTCGTTACACAGTGGTAAATAGTGTCTAGGATTGCGTAAGATTTTCTGTGCATTCTCTGTATCAGTTTCAAATAATGACACGAAACTAAAAAGTTCATATACGATAAGAATGTTATTAGGGAATTATCATAATTTATTAATTTTTGAAACGTTAATATACAGGCACTCTTTAATATGAGATCTTTGCTAACCTAGCAAATGCCTGTAAAAACTTACTTTACGTATATTGAATAGAATAAATGATCTTCTGTAGCATTTAATACATCTTCCAAGTCTTTCGCGTGGTGCTTCAAAAGATAATCTTGAAGCATGTTGATAGTTGTTTACAGTAGAATATCACTGATCTTTAGTCCAAGAATATGACACAAAACACAACACAAGCACGTGGTTGTCAGTGGTTATTTTTCCGCTACACGATGTCAGCTGTCAGCTGGTTACTAAAAGTCGCTCTCTCTAAAGTCACTAGATCCACGATCTTCGATTTTGTTCTAGGGATTGATTGTGTATCTTGAAACGAGATGAAAATTACAAAAATGAGCAAATTCACTAGATATTGGTCAGTGAAATTAAAAATATTTTAGTGAATTTGCTTAATTTTTATAATTTTCACCTTATTCCAAGATACACAATTGAGGGGCCTGATGTTGTTATAATGTGCAGCGTGATATTTTTCATAAGAAAAAGCGCTTAAAAGCGCACTGAGCCACGCGCCCCTTTCGGTGATCCTTAATTCCCGCCCTCACTACCTAGCATTCGCATTACCGCGCCCCCGCGCTCCCCGCAGCATTGCGCGTCACTTTTGGCGTGCCATCGGACCGGCCGGACACGAAAAAGATTCGCTCCAGGTGAATTGCTTCGCGATTTGATCTAAAAATGGTAATCAAAGCCCAATTAACATTGTATTGTATATAATAACTAATTGCACTACTCAATTATCGCGGAACTATATTTGATATAATTGATATTTAATAATCAACTCGATCAATAACGCGCATATTTTGCAAGGCCTACTCTCGGACTGTATAGCGAAAATGTATAGCGCGTATAATCGGCAATTATTGTCAGATCTCTATCTATAATCTCATCTTGCGCATTCTATTTGTATTATAATACGAATAACAATAAAAAGCGAGCATATATCTATTATCTAGGTTTCTCGAAATTCTGAAATTGCCGTATGCATAAAACGTGCAACGCCGCGCGCCGCCGCGGCGCAGCGTACAGCGTCGTTTAGACGTCAATTTTTGAGTTTTGATAAACAAATAATATATGCTCGTTTTTTATTGTTATTTCGCATTGTAATACAAGTTAAACGTACAAGATGCAATTACAGACAGAGGTATATATCCGAAAATATAATTGTCGATCGGCGCTTTGGCGTGCGAAATCGACCGCGTGGGTGATAAAAAGCCTTACACGTTTTCAGAACGCGGCGGACACGGGACGGGATCGCGACGAGTGACATCGCATCTCGATCAAAATAGGTAAACAGATATTCTATGTTAACCCTGATTTTATCTTTATTAAGTATTACAGCGCCACTCGCCGCGTCGCTTTTGACGCGTGAAATTGACCGCATTGGAAGCTGCACTTGAGTGACGCTGCAACTCCTTTAATTTGATAAATAATAATCGTATCAATCTTGCATCTAACTCGCGTAATATAGATTCGGCACTCGCACTCTGATTCGATCGAATTTGCGTATTTCGCAATACTCGTTCGGTCGAAAATTAAGACGTGTATAAGCGCCGCCGACACGTTGCCCCGTTGCTTGTTTCGCGTAAGCTGACCGCACGTGGGACGAATTGTGTCGCTTCGCCATTAATTACGCGTTTATCCATACGTATGGGATACGTTAACGTATACGCCATACGTAATATATAAACGCGTTCATTGAAATAGTAAGCGTCGAGGCGATGCGTCAGTGGCGGTGACGGCGGCGGCGCGGCTACGCTACACGTCTTGATTTTCGGCCGAACGAGTATTGCGAAATACGCATTCGAACGAATTAGAACACGAGTGACGAATCTATATTACATGAGGTAGATGCAAGATTGATACAATTACTTATCAATTACAATCACTTATCTCAATTAAAGGAGTCACGGCGTCAAGTGTTTGATCGTTTCCGATGTGTCAACTTCACGCGTCAAAAGCGGCGTCGTCTAGGCGTCCTACTCTAAACTTTGCGTCGATGCATTTTCTACATTTCAAACAATAAATGTAATTATAGACTATGCAGCAGGAAAAGGAGACCTAGCGGCCTAATTCTGAGTGGAGGAGGAGGCCTAGGAGAGGCATCGGGCACCGGCGGAGCAACTTTGGGGTGAATAATTTTTTTACTTATATAAAATTAGTATCTTTTTTCAATATCCAGGTTGTTTTTGATCTTAATAAGTTTGTAATTTAAAAAAAGATGTCCATCTAAAATTTTATAAGTTTATTTTTTGTTAAGATTTTTGCAGTAACAAGATAATTTTAATCTACTAGTACATGACAGACGCGCGCTTCGCGCGCGCTGCGTATTGAATCCCATACATCTACCAATAACATTTATACCAATTTACATTTTAATTAAACAAATGTTAACAATTTTTGATTAAAAATAAATTTTCAAAAAAAATGACACTGCGCGCGGTGCGTATTAAACTCCAAACATCGTCCAATAACAATTATACCAAATTATATTTTAATTAGACAAATATTGAATCGGCCATTTTTAAATAAAATCACGATTTTTTAGAAAGTAGCCACATAATTCATCTTTAAGATAAGCCCAGAAAGAAGCCGATATTTTTATTTTTCTGAAAGATATGAATTTATAAACATTGAGGTAAAGAAGCTTCAATGCAGATAACACGGCAATTTTAAGATAGGATAGTAAATGTCTTGTTGAAAATTGATTTAAAAAATTTGATGTGTGATTTTAAAAAAAAAATATCTTTTGATAGGGTAATTATTTTGAACGCGATTTTAACTTGAGTCTTATGTTTGTTACAGTATCATCGTGGCTTCGTGGCAGATAACTCCGCCCGTTGCGCTTCGTGTTGGTGAGTGAAACATTTTTTATAAAATGACGTAACAAATCTGTGAAACTTGTATACTTATACTTATGTGTTATATCAATGCAATAGGATGCAGATAGTTGCAACTTCTCACAGATTTGTTGCTCTAAAATAGATAGTTAAAAGAAAAATACAGAATGACACAATAACGCCAAATATTTTGTAAAAATAACAAATACGTTTACAAAAAAATCTTCTATACATCTTATTTATGCGTTTGTAAATTATTGATCTCTGCTTGTGGTTTTTGTTTACTTACACTGGACGATGGTCACAGCGAGCAGAATATACATATAATTAACTTCATTATCCTCGCAAATCACTGTTACAAATCAAGTTCAGATTGACTTAAGAACTCGACAGAGAAAGCCATCTATGTATATCGTCTTTTTTTATATATTGCGCTTAGAATTAAGGTACTATGTAGCGTCAGTGCTTTTAGCGTTATTGAATAATTTATCCTTATTTTACATCTAATTATTGATAAAGATAAAATGATATAATAGCGCTAATTGCTCGCTTCCCGAACGCAGTTTTAGAACACGCTGTCATTGCTATCTGACGCGTCATTCTATTTTTATTGTAAAACTTTAGACGTAAAACAAGGATAAATAAATAGAAAAGATTAAATAGATTAGATCAGATTAAGCTGAATTAATCCTGGAACATTATAATTCATTGGTAAATTATGTTTACATTCTCTCTTTACAAAGGAGCTCGTTACGTTGACGTATCGTTGGTGCGTCTGCTTTTGCCAGCTCTAATAACACACACACATTTTATTTGTGGATATAGCACAGACTCGAACCACATCCATTATGATTTTATATCAACAATGTCAGAAAGTGGATGTAGCTACGACGCTACGTAGTACCCGTTTCAAAAATGGATGCACTGATGCTAGTGTACGGAGGGTTCTGTCGGTCCCACGTAAAAGGCCAGAATGGCCACTCTCATTCTTCTCTCTGCTAATTGTAAGATAAAGCTGCAACTATTTTCTCTAGACTCCGCACTTCCCACTACAAATTCACTACAGGATCCGAATCCATCGAACTTAAGCTAATACAAAAGCTAATAAAATATAAATAACTCTTTCCTCTCGAAACATCAAAATTACGATTGCAATCATTGAGATAAATCATATTAAATTGGGCATTAAATACTTATTATAATTGATATTTTTTAATTGCTGAAAGTCAAGAGTTTTATTAAATATATTTAATGTGTTATTTATGTTTTATTTATTATATTAATTTCCTAATTTAGCTTCTTCGTTAATCGAGATTTGTACGTATTATTCCATCCGCATGCTATACTGTCTATTCCGATAAAAATGTCACGCCTGGCACGCGGCCGGTGATTGTCTGCTAAAACGCCATCAATGCCGCAGATTCGTCAGCTGTCAGTTAAACGCTTGAAATTCCATTTGAGCCGGAAACCGTTCTCGCGCCACGCTCCGAGGGTTTGGGGGGATCGCAGTTTCGGTTACTTTTCGCCAAACCGCATCGGCGACCGGCCTCCATTAATCGATCCCCCGTGTGTCTCGACTATCCGTCTCGTCTATCCGTCCCATAATTCCGCGTCGCGGTTTCGTGCGGGACTCTGCGGCGAAACTTCTTCCGCAACATCGGAAACCTTTTCTGCTGCTAATTTTCGTCGGCAGTGACGTGCGGGGCGTAGTACATCCGATAGGTGCATTGGGGAATAAATGTTGTCGAATGTTAACATCCCGATAGAATAGATATTTCGAGGGCTCCCTGAATATATATTTCAGTTGCGATGAAATCGGATTTTTCGCTCGTTCAAACAGTGGCGCGGCAAACGGAAATCGTTGAAAGTGTAATACACGGCAGAGATAATAGTATCCGGTGGAAGAGTCTTCCGCTCCATTTTTTTTTGCACCGTGTGTTGTCTTTTTCTTTTTATTTTTTACTTATTACTTATTATATTGTACGAAAATAATCATTTATAGAGAGCAAGATCGATGATTCCCTAAATACATATATATTGATTACGCGAAAATTTGTTCCATCGTCTAACGCGACGTAAAGAAAAATGAATGAATATTTAACGTTACCAAATATGTGAGCACTTAAAGCAATGCAGAAGTAAAATATTTTTTATTCACTGTAGATTAATTCATTTTAAATTTTTTATATTTTTATATTCACAAATTTATGTTACTTATGCATGCATCCTCTTCGTGAACTAAAATGCTTTTTATTGAGCGGAAAAGAGCTGCAAAACCGAAGTCGAGCGTCCGGAAACAAAGCGTCCGTTAATCAACGTTTTAACGATATCCGATTTAGAATAACGTAGCGCGCGGCGTAATTCATCTTTTTATTTGTCGATTCTCCGTCCGG